ACATTTGCAGCCGATTTTGAACGCGAATATTTAAGAGACAGCAAGAGTGTTAATAAATGTAACCTCTGGTTAGTGTTCATCGTTCTACTATGAGCTAAATTACAGACAGTGGATCTTTCCACGAAAAATAGCAATGTAAAAGGTAGCTCTTTTTGTTTCGCAGTGAATCAAGAAAGAATTTTGATGATATGCAAGGCTTCAATGATTTAACTCGTTTACTTAAGAAATTGCAGTTAATGAACTATGATATAACCTTGAATTTTGTTTGAATACTCCACGTTAATAGCCTGTGTACGTACGCGCCACAGACGGAAACCTTTGAGATGAACATCAAGAAGGCCTTAAAGTCACTTTTAATATATGAAACGCCAAAACTGGTGGAAATAAAAAATTGGAAGATAGGGCTGACCGAACGCTTCTTGCAACTCATTATTTTGATCTATGTCTTGTGGTATTTTGTAACCGTTATCTCAACTTGGCAGCTGGGTATTAATATACGAAAAGGGATACCAAGTGAGCGATACCGCCGTGAGCCTTGTCACTACAAAAGTTAAAGGAATAATGATTAAAAATTACCCTTCGGCGGAGAATGCTCTGCCTCAGGTTGCTGACGCCGCTGATTTAGTCTATCCAGCACTGGAAAATAATGCATTTTTTATAATGACGAACCACATAAGCACTTTAAATCAGACAGCAACAGCATGTCACGAAGTAAGCCCTTATGATCTACCACTACTTTAAGGTTGAAGAAGGACATGGATCCGCTTGCAACTCTGACAGTGACTGTATCCGTTTTGCACCATCCCCGTCAAAAATCGGTAACATATATGCATGTCCTTGTGTTAAGTCGGTTAGCTCACGTTAAAATGAAATCTAAATTCACAGTGATTATGAAATTCAAGTTGCTTTTTTGAACTTTTACAGGTGTGTACACTGGAAAATGCTTGAAACTACCTTCAGGATCTGGCGTGTGCGAAATATATGCTTGGTGTCCATTAGAAAATGATACGCATGTGTTTGCAAACGCACAGCGCACTTTGGAGTTTATCAGGAATTATACCATTTACATAAAAAATGACATCGAATTTCCAAGATTTCAAGTAAATCGGTAAGACCATTATGAATCGTATACTGTGCTATCTATATGTTCTGAAGTTTTTCAGCGGATTATTGACACGGAAACATTATCAGAAAGTATTGCTTTATAGAAGAGTTAAATAAATTTTCTGCGGAGAGTAGTAAGTGAACCGTACAAAGTCCTAAGGGATTAATATTCCGCTTTGTGATATAAATTGAACAGCGGAGTATTGCAGTAGATCAGTCATACAT